TTCTTCTTCAGCTGCATGATTACTGTTCGGTTCTGATCCGTCATTCATCAAGCCAACTTGCTCTAGTTTATTGAACCGCTTGTTCATAGTATTTTGAATTCATTCATTCCATTGCCTTTGGTTTTCGGCTTGTTGACTTATCAGTTTCTTTACTTTTTCTATTAGTGTAGATACTGTTGCTTGGCATGCACTGTCTATGTATTCTTTTATCTGTGGATCCATGCTTGATGACGAATTTCTGGGTTCATTAGACTTTTTTTTTTTTTTTTCGAGAAGTCTGATCGATCAAATTTGACACCGGGGTAATCCAGTATTTGGCGCCATGGTTTTATCAAGAGCTTCCTATTCTTCTTTCAGATTCTATTTTTGGGGCTTATATTGCTCATATGTCATTATCATATGAAGCAGCATCTTCACATATGATTCCCCTTTCAATCAGCTTCTTGTTTTGGCATTGGCCTCTCGTGAGTAATTCTGCAGATCGTGGCGTGGGTGTACCACCTCACTTTTCGATCACGTGATTCATTATCACTCTGCATGAGTGAACTGTGTAATGAGAATGCAAATCATATCTATATTTGGACAGTTTCTCCTGTTGATAGCAGACATCTATTATTAAAAATGCTATATTTGCTTATTCGAACTCAAACTTGTTTGCAAACTTCAAACTGAACTCATACCAAACTCATAATTGTATTTGAGTTTGGTAGTATAAGTTTGAGTTTGAGTCCGAGTTTGAATTTAGTAAAATTTAAAGTCCAAGTCTGGTTTGAGTTTGGAGTTTGATCGAACTGGACCGAATCCAAACCAGACCTAGGAACACTACTCCCAGCTGGGCTCGCTAAATGTAAATTTAATATCTGGTCCACTTTGTGGATCCAGTTCAGTATTCCTACCAATCATATATTAACCATTCAAATCTAGGTAAGTATTGACCACTCTAGTAGGTTTAGGTTGCGGATAAATAATTAGTCTGAGCTTTTATTCTTGCATGTAGTTTATATTTATTCATTTATATATGAATTAAGTCTTCATTTAGTTTTGTTTCTTTATGTTTACTTATATAAATTACTCAATAAAGATATGAACAAGGCCTCACCTTTTAACATTTAAAAAAAAAATAATAAATTTATATTTTAGATACATATCTGTTATTCTTTTATCTGTATTTTGGCAAATTTGTCTATAATTTTAAAAGTATTTACTTAAAATATATTTTACAAGCTTTATTATAAAAATTTTTATAAATTTTCGAAATAATAAAAGTTTAGAATTTTGCTCTAAATATGTTTCCAACTGTAAAAAAATATTTACACCTAAGGCTTATCTTTTTAAATAGCTACGATTATAAAATGTTAAAAAAATAATCAATACTAAATGTCAGTAAAAAATATATATATATTTATTATATAATTCACCCATCTAAATCTATAACTATTTATTTTTTACTTGACACTACTTTGATCTTGTAGCACTCATGCTAGGTGGCACTACTCTATCTTCTACGCCTTTTTTCTTTTCAATTTCCTCATCAACAACACCCCAAACTTTACTTGGTTTTGGTCCCATTTGCAATTCCATTACTGCACCTTTTGAAATATCACTATGCCTAAACCAAGTTTTTTCCCATGTTTGGCCATTTAATTTAACACTCTGAACATATGGATTGATGTAAATTTGTCTTGAATTATTAGTTGCAATTGAAGAATTAGCGTCAATAAAGACCTGATTTATGGAAGAAGAGTTCGATGTAGAGTCTGATTCACCATCAGGGATGTACGTTAGATTTTGAGCTATAATCTTAAATGTTATTGGTGATGATATTGAAAGATATATAGTGATCTCTTCGAATTGTGGCGAGTTTATCAAATAGATATCCGTTCCAGCTCTATTATTGCATAGAAAAAGGTTAATCATTTGAGAATATTATCGTACATAAAATTAAATAAACAAATTCTTACATTGGAAATAATCCAAGAGCGTTGAAAGCATACCAACTTCCCATTGCTCCGGAGTCATCATTTCCTATAAAATAAAAAACTTGGGTAAATGTGGAATATATTTTATTTATTAAATAGGGTTGAGAGAACCATGAATGGAGTGATAAATAATGTAGTACCGTACAAGCGCATAATAAAGCGCGTTCGAATGATATATTAAAAGTCATCTACTACTGAAAACTTTCTTGTGACTTTCATTCTAGTACATATGAGACGCAACATGAGTGTTATTTTGAGTCAAATGCTTTTTTTTTGAAAAAGTGGACATTTCAAAACAACACCCACATGCATTATTACGCGCTTATACGGCATTATAATTAATTACCATTTAGCACTGCTTATAGCATCTCTTATAAAATAATATCTCCTATGGTTAAGCCGAGGGTGCCATTTACTATGTCTACCATTCTAATTCTTTAGTAATAGCCCTATACATTTCATAAAAATTGTATTCAAATCTAGTACTTTGTCCTTTACAAAATATCCCCGACAGTGAAAAAAACTCAATGTCAAAATTCGGTGCGCACAAATTTTAAATACAACGTGCGTATTGCGCATTTAATTTTAAATATAATGTTCTCTACAGTAGAAAGGATTAACTATATAGCGCACATTATTTAAAACAATTATGTTTTTTTTGTGCGCAAAAAAAGTTGTGTGCAGAGCGCACATCGAACTTTTTTCACCGATGTACTCATAAGTTTAAAAACGAAAGTTGAATAAAACCTTGGGTACTATAAGCAATGCTAAACAGTATATGAGTGTGATAACTGGATGGCCCTTAGTAAAGGTCATGTAATAAATAGCATTCACCTAATTATCATATTTTAATATTACGAACCTGGAATCCCGTCATTGCTATTTCTAAATTTAGTATCCATAATTTTCCTAATAATTTCTACACTTTTATACTGTTGTCCGATAAAATGATATAAACAAGTATGAAAAAAATCTGGTTCATTCCCTATGTTATAGTAAGTTCCTAAAAAAGTATCATCTGAGAATGTTTTGTTAAGTCTTATTTCAAAACTTCTCGGACCTCCTGATAGCTCGATTAACCTTTTTACATCTTATTTGTTGTAAATGATATAAATAAATAAAATTAGAATTATTCAATTATTAATAAAAGTATTGCTAAACATACGCACCAAAAGGTACATCCAAACTATACTCCCATGACGTGCCTTCATAAAATGTATTCCAACCTCCATCAAAATTTTTATCAACATTCCAGTCCATATCGAATGATCCGTTTATATATCTTGGTAAGATAAATCCTTTAATCCCTATTTATCATATCATATAGAAGTTAACTAGCATTAATAGAAATACTAATTTAAAGACGAAGGAAAGGTACAAAAATTACCATCGTAAGTTTTATTTGAACACCATAAATTCTCCCAACTACTTGCACGTTTTTTGTATTTTATAAAGTCATCAATTTTACCTAATCCTTTAAAATTAATCACATATATAAAGAGTATGTGTCAATACATCAATACATTCATATTAATTTGAAAAAAAAGAAAAAAAAAATTATACCTTTAGCAACAAGGCTAATACTATAATCATTAGCACTATACTCCAAAGTTCGACTACATTGAGCATTAGCGTATCCAGTTTTTCCATCATCCGGAAAAGGTATATAACCATATTCCTTATAATCTGTTAAATATAATCGACCTTCATACAAGCCTTTTTCCCATGGATCTATTTCCGCATCTTTGATGAGAGCATTATATGCTAATTTCCAATCTATTTTGCCACTAACATCTAAATTCTTTAAATATGTTTCTGCCTATAATTAAAGGAAAGATTAAAATATTAGGGTGAATGAAAGAATTTATTGACGAATTACATAAAATATGTTTTTATTTAATTACCACAACCATATCGGCATTAGATCCACCTTGCGTCATCCCATTCCATGAACCACTTCTTCCATCGGGCATATAACCTTCATGCACGTAAATATCGACTAGCGAATTAGTAATATCTACGGCACGTTCAGGTTGGAAAAGTGTAAATAATGGGTTTGTTGTTCTACGTATTATGTATATTTGTTAGTGAAATTATTGAAATAAGTAATAATAATAATAAATAACAATAATATTTTAATATTGGAATTACCTGAAGGTGTCCCACTATTTGATAATATTAATTCAAAAAAAAATTTTTTAGCGCTCATAACCTTTTGAGAATGATAAAATAAATAATATAGTAATAAAGCATACCAAAGTATAAAAATCTTCATAATATGGTATAGGATTACCCTTTTTATCGAATGACACCCAATCCGGATTCTCACCAGTTCTGAGAATATAATAATTAGAATCATTTATCATCAATAGAATTATTTGATTAATAAAAATCTACACACCTATCGCTTGGAATAATCATGGTCCTATATAAACTACTATAAAAAGATTCCGTAACATTACTAGTTCCGCCTGAAACCTGAATCCTCCCCAATTCTTTATTCCAAGCATTAACAGCCTCCTCCCTTGTCTTATCAAAATCCCAATTTGGTACCTCGCTTTCAGCACTTTCACATGCCTGGTCAGCCGAAATGAATGAGATACCAACTCTAGAAACAATTACAGGATTTTTAACAGTATCAAAAGTTAGAATCGCACCAATCTTATCAACGAAAGATACGCCAATATAAGATGATGTGTTTTTGTTAATTCGATTGTTCCACCAAGTCTCATAATTAGTGGCGTTGACGTTGAATTGGGAACAGAAAAAGACTTTATATAGACCATCATTATTCCAGCCACCTTTGTATTGACCTACTCCTTTTATTTGGTTATGAGACACAGAAGTGATTGCAGCATTTTCATATCTGGCACTGTAAATAATGTATATAAATAATTTATGTAATGAAGTTAATGTAACAACAATAACATCAGTAATATATGATATATAGTTTAAAAATACCTCCAACCAAAAGATAAAATATGGCCCAAATCAAGTATAACTTTTGCGCTATTTTCAGCCGGTGGAAAAGTATATCGATGAACACCAGTTCTGCGACTAGCAGTTAACTCAACCATAATTTGATAACGCTTTAATCCAAATTTCGAATAACCAACTTCGAAATGCTCAAATGACCTTTCGGACGAATAGTTATCTAGTATGAGTTTGTCATTGGGCTGATCCATCACCGGTAATTGACTTATTACTCCATATTTTGGTTCACCTGATATTGATGTAAGTTAATAATGTTAAAAAAGATCGTTCATTTACTATTTCTTTTTTTTTTTTCTTTTTACCTCCCGTTCCACTAACATGCAAATCTATTTTAAAAATTTTAAGTTTTCTATATGTAAATATATGATAATTAAAAATATACATATATTTAATTTTATAGAAATACTCACGGGATATCCCCACAATTTTTCCATGAGTAGTATATCTGCAAATTATGATGAGCAATAAATTATTACGAGAAGAAAATTTTTTATTGAACACTAGAGATGTAGCGTACATTTTTTTTTATTCGAATTCATAAGTATCAGGGCATATCCGGAGATTTGTTGATACTTATGCATTCGATCAATACATCTTTACTGTGTACACTGTCTCGCAAAAAGTGTTGAGTTGCCAGTAAATGAAAAATAAATAGATTCATTTTAGAAATTGGCCCAACTCTTTTTGCTGAATGTTATATATTAAGTAATCAATTCTTACCCTCCATTGAAATCTGATTTATCATCAGTATCGAAACCTACTTTGACAACCCCAAAAGGAAGGCAAGGACCAGGGAATACATGTCCATCTAATATTGTCAAAGATTTATTGATTAAATATCTGATTAATTCCGAAATTGAACTGTTAAATTAAACATTACCTTTAGCAGTTCCTATAAGAGGATTAGCAAATTTAGCAACATCAGCGACAATGTCGATCTGATGATGATGTTCACGTATATTTGGAATTATGTATATTACAATTAGGTATTGAAATACTATAAAAGCTAAAAGTAAAAAAATCCTAAATAACTTTCTATTCATCATATGTAGTCTACATATTGAATTTAGCAAAAAAAATAATTGTTTTTTTTTCATTGTAATGTTTTTTTTCTTTGTTGATGTTTAAAATTTAGAATAAGGTACGTACTTGAGCAAATGATTAGTGATCAACTTGTCCACAATATTTATGTTACTGTAAGGCTTGCATAATTAAGCCGGTGAAACCGATTAACCAATCGGATTTTGGAAAGTCACCAGTTTCACCAGCGACTCTAGTGATAAATAAATAAATTTTAATTAAATCTATCCTATTTAAGAAAAAAAAAAAGGATTTAATAATTTGAAATCATTTTCAGGATTAATGTATTTGAAAGGAACAAACCAATTTAACGATTTTAAGATTTGATGATGTTTGTATTTCCGAATTTGCTACATATTGATTTGATGGATTGTATTTTTGTGTATCCTCATGGGCGCCACTTTTCCTAAAATAAAAAGGAGATCTTATCGTTATCGTTATACAGAATTTAACAGCTATCACAATATGTGATTAGGTCAAATTAGTTGGCACTAGAATTAGCGTAACTTCAATTTACTGTAATAATTTTGTTACAGAACTTACTCGCTAATACAACAAACACATGATTAAGATTGTGTTGGTTTGCATTAAAATTGGTATAATTTCTACCATAAATTATTGAAAAAAGTTTCGTTGCTAAACTTGTTATTCTAGTGACCACGGTATGTGGTTGACATGATTATGATTTTTTAGAGTTAGGGATGTTAATAGACCACAGTTAGGCCAGACCAATTTAATTCTTTGTTTAACATAACCCCTCCCCCCTATTTTTCAAAATTTATATGAACCCAATACACATTAATAGTAATTAATAGTATTT